GGAAATCCTTATCTAAAATCACTGAGCTGGTTTTATATGAGAGAGAGAGGGAATGAGTGTGTGTGTGTGTGTGTGTGTGTGTGTGTGTGTGTGTGTAATCTAGGAGCTCCTGTGTAACCACTGAGCACATCCTTAGGTCCGTTGTTTGTTTTCATGGAACTCTAGCTCCATCTCGGGGCTTGTTATACTAGTTAAAAACTCTACTACTGACTTGTTTTGTTTTGCTATTTGAGCCTTTATCTCAGAAAGTCAAGGCTGGCTTCAACCTTGCTAAGTAGTCAGGATGGATGACCTTGAACTCCTGGCTGTCTGCCTGAGTGCTAAGACTACAGGTGTGCACCACCACATCTGACAGGACTGAGTTTATTTTGTTTCTGTTTTTGTTTTTTCCAGACAGGGTTTTCTTCTGTGTAGCCCTGGCAGTCCTGGAGCTTGTTCTGTAGACTAGGCTGGCCTTGAACTCACAGAGGTCCACCTGCCTCTGCCTCCCAAGTGCCAGGATTAAAGGTGTGCACCATTACGGCCTGACTAAATTTATTTTGAGCTGATAAATGTGCACATGGGAGAAAGGGGTGTTAGCAAATACTGGCATTCATTAGCGCTAGATTTTTCATGCCAGGTAATTTCTTAATTTTATATAGATTCTTTTTTTCTTTCATGTACTTCATGTAATCATACCCTCCCTTATTAAAACAAGGGTGAATTTGCTCAAATAATACCTCAACATTTAAACCAGAAACACAAGTTTTCTTGAGGGCGGGGGAAGTAGCTCAGTTGGTGGAGTGCTTAATTAGCACACACAAAGCTCTGGGTTCCATCCTACAACCATAGAAACTTGGTGTTGGCTCAAGCAGGCTGGGTAGGTGGCACCCAGCACTCAGGAGGTAGAGACAGGACTGTCAGAGATTTAAGGTCAGGACTTTGAGATGCTCAGCAGATAAGTCAAATGCTAGCTAGACTGATGACCTGAGTTCAACTTTCAGAACCAACATTAAGGAAAGAGAGAATCAACTTCTGCAAGTTATCCTTCCATATGTGTGCAATGAAGCTTGAATGTACAGATACATATGCACAATAAATGCAATTTAAAACATTAATAAAATAGAATAACTGAAACCCTGCACCAAAACAAAAATAATTTTAAAAATAGGAAAAAAGGGCTGGAGAGATGGCTCAGAGGTTAAGAGCACTGTCTGCTCTTTCAGAGGTCCTGAGTTCAATTCCCAGCAACCACATGGTGGCTCATAACCATCTGTAATGAGATCTGGTGCCCTCTTCTGGCCTGCAGGGACACATGCAGACAGAAAACCGTGTACATAATAACTAAATCTTTAAAAACAATAGGAAAAAAAAAAAAAACAGATTTTCTTAAAACAATACTCAGTCTTTCTGTGTGATAAGCTCTCTGATTGTCACAGGATTTTAAGTGTGTTCGTGATGTGTGTGTGTGTGTGTGTGTGTGTGTGTGTGTGTGTGGTGCATGTGATAATGAGTGTATGTGAAGGTCAGAGGCCAGCTTTTAAAAAATCAGTTTGTTCTTTCCATCTTTACATTGGCATTTATTTTATTTATTTATTTATTAGTGTGTAGTGTGTTTCTGAGCATGCATGTGAAAGTCAGAGGACAACTTTGTAGGGTTGATTTTCTCCTTGTATTTTTTCGGGAATTCTGGAGAGCCAATTCATTCAGGTTGTCTGGCTCATTACCTGTTCTCTGTGCCATCTTGCTCATATAAGAAGAACAACCTAAACACAGGATATAGTATTTGCCTTGAGTGTCTACTGGGGAAGGAACTACACAATAAATATTCTGATCCTCCACCTTCTGGATGCTGAATTTTGATGCAAATGGGGGCGTCCTCTAATTTAAGACCCAAGTAGGCAAGTCAGTACCGTGGTATACACCCTTAATCCCAGTACCCAGGAGGCAAAGGCTGGTGGATCTCTGCGAGTTCAAGGCCATCCTGGTCTACAGAATGAGTTCTAGGAATGTAGCCAGGGCTACACAGAGAAACCCTGTCTCAAAAATAACAGCAAAAGATCTAAGTAGTTGATTAATTTTTCCATAACTTTTATTGAATAATCTATTGTTCTCCTTTGGTTTGTAGTTTCCCAAACCGTTTTGTTTTCAGCAACCCTGTGAATGTTAGCATCCGCTATGCTTTAGAATCTGCCTGACAGAGGCACCTGGTTGTTTCTTTAATGGACAACTTTCTTAAAATATGTCAAGGGTTCTCACTGTGGAAACCTGAAACCAGGTTCTGTGAAAATAAAGCCATATTCTAATTATTCCCTGAAGTAATCCTGCCTCAAACGTGCCTTACTGTGAAAGATCTTAGACTGAAACTTCAAGAGGCAATGTAGGGTCTGATTCTAGTCTAGATCTCCAGACTTCCTTTCCGTGTATAAATCCATACTAGGGGAGACTTTGTCTTTACCCTGCAATCGATTAGAAAGAAGCTATCCATAGCACTTTCTGCAATGACTGGGCAGGGTGGTAAATATCAATAATCCCAGCACTTGGAGGCAGAGGCAGGAGGATCAGTAGTTCAGGATCATTCTTGGCTACACATCACCTTCCAGGCCAATCTGAGTGACTTGAGACCTGTTTCAGAAAACAAAACAAACAAAATCCCCCCCCCCAAAAAAAAAACCAAACCAGCTTTGCGCATCGATGGAAATGTCCTATGACAGCCAATAATGTAGCCAGTACCTGAAACTGAACTACTTAATTTACACAACCACTTGTCATTACTCATTGGCCACTGTAGACCACACAATTTCGACCTCTGGCCTCCACTTGAACTTGCTATGGGCAAGCCCACTAGCACACACAAATGCAAACACCTCATGCGGTCACACACACGCACACGATAGGGAGGCCGATGCGGTGTCATTGTACCACAGTGGAATAAATACGTCCAGATTGGCAGGTGGTCCATTAAGGAAAGATCAGTTAGAAGTCAATTCCCTTCATCAAGGAGGTCTGGGCTAGCGAACTAGAAGCCAGTAACAGCTTTCTCGTGGAAGTGGAAACGGATCCCTCCCACCCTCCCAAGTGCTGGACTGGAACTAGGATGGACGCGAAGGTCTTTAGGCTGCTAGGTACAAGTTCCGTGCAACAAACATAAAGTTGATGTAGGGGGTTTCAAGGTGGGGGGGGGTTGGTTAATGGGAGAGGGCAATCTGAGGAACTGGTAGAATGGATAATTTCTTCTGGGGACAAAGTAGTAAGGGAGGAAGCGTTCGTGAGAAGACAGGGGCTCTCTCTGATGAGGGGAGACGCCGGCTTGGTCTCAAGATCGCAGGGGGCTGGCTTGAGAGGCTACAGGTCGGGGTAGAGGTGACGAGCAGCAGGCAAAGAGCATCCGCCCTGTAACACCAAGCTGGCTGCGGGGCAGTAGGAATTAAGAGCGGAAAGCGGAGGG